AATTAAAAAAATAAAAAATAACCATTATTTTAAAACATTGAGAGTAATAAATAAATTTTACTAGTAAAGAAAAATATGTAACCATTCAATCAGTATTGATTTGATTAGAGAATAAGTACTCAATCAACGAAGCATGTATTCCACGATGAATTTTTCTCCATTTTATTGTGGTGCTGTTGGACAACTTTTTATTTTTATTTTTTATATCATTTTTATATATTATTAAATAAATATATACATTTAATATCACAATCTCACATAAATTAATAACAAATTATATAAAAAAATAAAACAAAAAAATTATTCAAATATCATTTTCCTGTATTTTATTTTGCCGGATCCACAATGCACCCATTTTAGTTTAGAAACTAAAAAGAAAAAAAAAAACACGATATTTATCCGATTTTATTTTAGATCCAAGCGTGCGGGACGCTAACGTGGAAGAGTTGATTGAGATCCTTGAATCAGCACCGGCGCCGGAATCACGCCGGTCGGATATCCAAGGAAATCAGAGAAGAAATTAGAAACAATCCATCACCGATCATTAATGATTTGACACTCCTAATTTTATGTAATGCATGTCATTAGCAGTCTTAAAACCTCACACAATACAAAAACCACAACTCCCCAAAACGCAGAAACCGTACAAATTTAATAGATTCTAACATATAAAGTTTAATTTCGACAGATTCTTTTACCGGCACCGATCAAGCACAATTACCATATTTCTTACCGGAACCGTGCCGCGGAAGACACAGTAGTTCACTTCTCCAGCCGATCCGAGACATCGGACGCCAGGCGAGACGCGATTGCGGAGTGGTACATTATATCGTGGAACGATGCGCTCTCCATGTCCTTCCTTCGCATGCGCTTCGCCTTCTCCTCAGTGAAGCATCCGAGCGCGAATCTGGATCTCGGGCGGCAATGTTCAGACTCCGGAGCCGGAATATCCAGTTTTTTCTGAGGCGCGTCAGCGGCATTGCTGTTGTTGACGTAGTCGGGTTCGGCGGACCATCCGAAGAGAGGCCCCCACCAGTTGGAGGAAGTACGGTTTCCACGACCTGGATCGGGTTTCCGGAAGGAAGATTGGGAAGCGGATTGAGCACGGATCGGGACGGAGAAGGAGCACGGGAGAGGCGTCGCCATGAGGGATCAGAGTAACGAAAACCTGAAAACAGATCTTCAGAGAGAAATATGGAAAAACGGTGGGTGGTTTTGGATAATTTTGAGGCGTGGAGATTGGTATTGTCTGCGGTTAAAAGTATTTTTGAATTTAAGGGGTAGCTTTGTTGAATTGTACCCTGGAAAGGAGGAGGGTAGTTGCGGAATAACTGTTCAATATTTTAATAGCAAGTGGGGGAATTACGGTAGGATGGGGTACAAAGGATTACAGTCGTTTGGTGAGAGAGGACAGAAATGGATAAGAGGGACACGTGGAAGGATTGAAGAGTGTGTTATTTATTGAATTTTTTTGGATCTTTCGCTGCACTTTTTTGGATTTTGTGAAGAAAAAGCGAACCGTCGTCCAGCTG